TAGCAAAAGAAAAATAAATTGGACTTCCTCAAAACTGAAAAGTTTTGTGCTTTAAAGAACACTATCAAGGAAGTAAAAAGAAGAGGAGGTGGAGCAGCAGCTGCACTTGCCACCCAAGGTGAATGATGGGCTGAAGGTGGAGCTGGAGAAATTCAGGGGGCAGGACCCTGCCCAAACTCATTGCACCCCAAAGGTGCGGGCCTACAAAGGAGAGGCTAGCCCCAAGCACCTCAGCACCCACAGGGAGGACCTGGAGCTGCCCCCAGACCAATAGGATTTGCCCCGACCACTGCCGCCCATTGAAATGAAGGTAAGGATTTCACACCGTTAAAAAAAAAGGGGGGGGGGAGTAAAAAGACATTCTACCACTCCCACAGAATGGTAAAAATATTTACAAATCATATATTTGATAATAAGACTTCTATCTAGAATATATAATTCCACAACTCATTAATTAAAATATAAATAATTCAATTTAAAAATCAGCAAAGAACTTGAGTAGACATACCGCCAAAGAAAATATACAATTGGAAAGTAGTACATGAAAAGAAGCTCAACATCATCAGTCATCTGGGAAACACAATGAATACCACTTCATACCTGCTAAGAAGGCTATAAACAAAAAGTCAGATAATAACAAGTGTTGACTAGAATGTGGAGAAATCAGAACCCTCTTATGCTGCTGGTAGAAATGTAAAATGGTGCAGTTGCTTTGGAAAGCCATCTGGAAGTTCCTCAAACATTTAAATGTAGAATTACCATACGACCCAGCAATTCCACTCCTAGTTATACACCCAAGGGAACTGAATCCACACAGGAGCGCGCACACCAATGTTTATACCAAACTTAGTCACGACAGGCAAAAGGTGGAAACAACCCAAATGTCCATCACCTGATGAAAAGATTCAACAAAATATTGTGTGGCATATCCACACAACAGAATACTGTTCAGCCATAAAAAGGAATGAAGTACTGATACATGCTCCTATACAGATGAAACTTGAAGACAGCATGCTAAGTGAAAGAAGCCAGTCACAAAAGACTACCTATTTTATATGATTCTATTAAATGAAATGTCCAGAATAGGTAAATTTATACAGAAAAGGCAGATTACTGGTTCCTTAGAACTGAAAGGAGAAGATAGAGGGCCAATAGCTAGAAGTACAAGGTTGCTTTTTAAGGAGACAATAATATTTAAAATTGTGGTGACAACAAATATGTATTTGTGAATATATTAAAAAACCACTGAACTGTACACTTAAAATGGGTGAATCACATGGTATGTGAATTATATCTTAAATCTATTAAAAAAGGTAATCCTTAATTTAATTCAACCTGATTGAGTTGAATCTACTGAATCCTAGAACAGAAAGATTTTTTTCTTTCGCTATAAAGGGTATCAGCATAACAATTAGTGAAATTTAAGTAAGGTCTGTAAATTAGATAATGGTATTGTATTAATGTTAATTTTCTGAATTTGATCACTGAGCTATGGTTATATAAGGACATATTCTTTGTATTTATTTATTTATTTCCAGAGAGAGAGAGAGAGAATCCCAAGCAGGCTCTACACTCAGTGTGGAGCCTGATGCAGGGCTTGATTCCAAAACCCCGAGATCATGACCTGAGCCAAAATCAAGACACCCAACCAACTGAGCCACCCAGGCACCCCTATAAGGACATATTCTTGTTTTTAGGAAATACACTGAAGAATTTAGAGGTGGAAAGACATTCTCACAATTGGATAGAAAAATAATTATACATATGGAGAATGAGACTAATGAAGCAAAAGTGGCAGAATAGTAATATTAGGGAATATAGATGAGGAGTATTCAGGAATTCTTTATATTCTTTTTTGCAACTTTCAGTTAGTCTAAAATTATTTTAAAATAAAAAATTAAAACAACACTTAAATATCATTTATTATTAAATTGCTGGAGAAGTGACATTCAGTAGTGGCCATCCAGGATAACAGACTTTCCATCCTGGAACATGGCCCAGTTTGTCCATAACCTTGCAGAGAAGGCCCCAGCGCTGCTGTGACTTACTCAAAGCTCTGGCCACATTTTGGGTAGGCTGAGCTGGTTCTTCCAACCAATCTCTGCTGAGATTCCTACAGCTATTCAGAGCTCGAAAAAAATTATCAAGAGTGTTCAAACTATCAGCTTTCAACAACTCACAGTTAAGGAAGCTCTGCTGAATGGTTTGGTGGCCACTGAGGTGTGGATGTAGTTTTATGTTGGTGAGTTCATAGGCAAGTGTGACATCACTGGTTATGATGTTTAAAGACCAATCTTTAACATCTGTTTATATTTGGTTTGAGTGTTCTTGGACCATGTGTGTTCAGACTGGTATTTGAATAAAATAAGATAATGTATCAAAGACAAAAATAAACTGGTGGAGAAGCAACTGTATTTCTAGGAATTTAAGGCTTTACTGTTGTTGCTGTTATTACCACCAAAAAACTAGAAATATAAATATTTTTAAAGTATAACTAGTCAAAAAATGTTTGTTCAGGCACTACTCTGAAAGTTTCCATAATGCAGGTGTGATGCAATGCAATTGACTCACTGGAGAATAGTCTGCATGACCCAATCATGAACTGATTGGAACTCAGGAACTCGCCCAGGGAGAACAGGAAAAGAACAGTGGCCTCAGAAGCACAGGAACGATCAAGAGTGGTTGTTACTACAAGGACCTGGCTGTGCTTCTAAGCTCAGTTGTAGCATTATATGAAAAATACACACTACAAACTGTGTACAGGCTAATCCTGTTTGGGCTTAAAAAAAGGCTATGATACATATATGGATGTGATGGATGTGTACACACACAGCAAACCACAGACATATGTATAAGAGAATAAAAGGCAGTATAGAACAGTGGTTGAGAACACGGGCTCTGGAATCAGATTGTCTGCACTGAAGGCCAATTGTTCAGCCAACTGTTAGCAGTGTGACTTCAGGCAACTCATTTAATCTCTCTGTGCTTCAGTCTTCCTCTGTAAAATGGGTCACTTGTATCAACTTCAGTGGACTGTTGGAGATTTAAATGACTTCATATATGTAAAGTGCTTAGAAAACCGTGTTAGTAGTAGTAAATGTTACTACGATTTATGTAATGATAGACAACAAAATCTGGAATCACGGAGGGCTAAGTTACACTGATTTTTATTTTTAAATCTGTGTGTTCTAAATGTTCTACAACAACCATGTATTTATTACTACCTTTTTATCAGACAAGAAAAAGCAGTAATTTTTAAAAATTGGTATAGAGTTGTTTGTGTTCTATAAATATAAGTATGCCTTACTGTTCACTTTCAAATAGGTGAGCATATAGAATGAATTTCTCAAAAAGAAATAAGATTTAAGTATAATAACAGTAACCTTAAGCAGAAAAGTCAGGTGAGTCAAACTAAAATTTATTTAGAGAATGATTCTATAGCATCCTAATCAAAATCTGAGCTGACATTTTTACAAAAATTAATAAGTTGATCCTGAAGCTCACATGGAAATGCAAATAATGGCCAAAAGAGTTTGAAAAAAAAGAGTAAAGTTAGAAGAATAACACTTCCTGATTTCAAAACTTACTACAATGCTACAGTAATGAAGACAGTGTAGCATAGACATAAATAGAGACATAAACGATTGGAACATAATTGAGAGTCTAGAAATAAACCCTTACATCATGGTCAACTGATTTTCAACAAGGGTGTCAAGACAATTCAGTAGGAAAAGAACAGTCTGCTGGGACAACTGGATATCCACATGCAGAAGAATAAAGATGAAGCCCTTCCTTGTACAATTAACTCAAGTGGATTATAGACCTATTTGTAAGAACTTGTATGATAAAACTATTAGAAGAAATGATAGGAATAAATCTTCAAGACCCTAGGTTAGGCAAAGCCTTCTTAGATATGACACCAAAACTACAAATGACAAAAAATAAGTTAGACTTCAACAAAATTAAAATCTTTTGTGCTACAAACAATGCCATGAAGGAAGTGAAAACACCACTAGAGAATAAGGAAAACTTTTGTAAATCACGTATCTGATAAAGGACTTGTATCTAGAATATATAAACAACTCTTACGATTCAACAATAAAAAGAGAAATAATTTTAAGATATGTAAAAGGTCAGAATAGATGCATCTCTAAAAAACATCTACAGATGACCAATAGGTGCATGAAAGATGCAAACATCATTACCCATTAGGGAAAAGCAAATCAAAACAATAATGAGGTATCACTTCCCACCTACTAGGATGGCTATAATCAAAATGATGACAATAACAAGTGTTGACAAGAATGTGGAGAAATTAGAACCGTCATACATTACTGATGGGAATGGAAAATGGTACAGCTACTTTGGAAAACAGTCTGGCAGTTCTTCAAAATGTTAAACATAGACTTTCTATATGATTTAGCAATTTCCACTCCTAGGTACATACCCAAGACAAATGAAAACATGTCCACACAAAAACAAATGTGCAGAGCAGCAGTATTCATAATAGTTAAAAAGTGGAAACCACCTAAGTGTCCATCAGCTGATGAACAGATAAACAAAATGTGGTATAGCCATAATGGAAAATTATCTGACCATATAAAACAACGAAGAATGTGATATATGCTACAACATGGATGAATCTTGAAAACATTATGCTAACTGAAAGAAGCCAATCACAAAAGACCACATGTTTTGTATGAGTCCATTTAAATGAAATGTCCAGAAGAGGCAAATCTATGGACATAGAAATATCAGTGGTTGCTTAAGGGTGGAGGGCTTGGGGGACAATGGAGAGTGATGAGTAGAGTCTCTTCTGGGGGTATTAAATGTTCTAACATTGGTTGTGGTAATGGCTATATAACTCTGTGAACATACTAAAAACCACCAAATGGTACACTTTAAATGGGTGAAATGTACAGTATGTTAATTATATTTCAAAAGTCTGTTAAAAAGAATTGTATAGCATAAGCAGCTGACACAGCTGATGGGACACTCACCTCTCTCTCCAATTCATCCTCTTCTTCCAAAAGATCATACACCTGTTCTAAAAGCTGAATCCCCAGGCCCTGGATTACATCAGCTCTCAAAACTTCAACTATTCTTCTGATCTTTTCAGAACCTGGCATAACAGCTAAAAAGCAATTCACAAAGATAGGGAAAAATAAATACTTTCACCACAGCAACGTGAAGAACATGTTTTTTTAAAAAAATCTTGTCATATTAAGATTCTTTTCACTTTGACAAGAGTTGGGTTTAATAACTTCATATATTTTTAAAGTGACGACGAATGTATATATGAACTTACACTTCATATCTCATTTCCACCTCCTAAACCTAAAATCCACAACTGTCTAATTTCAAGAAAAGCCACATGAAAAATCCAAACATGCATTTATATTTATTTAAAGAAAACAACTTTCATGCAACTTTCCAGGAACACAACTTGCTGCATAAAACAAGATATGTCTTTTATGGAGCTATCCAAACAAAATAATAAAAAAGCAAAAAAATTTTGGCAGCATTATCTTCTTGGTGTGACACATTTCTCCAATAAGCATGCTCTCCAGTTTGCTGTAAAAAAATAAACTGATCACCAGAAGGTAGCTCTTTAAAATGGAGGTCCTCAGCTTCTTCTGCAACTTTCCCATGAAGTATCAGCGTATCCTGGTACTTCCGATGAAGTTTAAATTCTGACACTGGCTCTGGAACCAGGAGATCTTCATAGCTCTCTTTAGACTCCAATTTTAGGGTCTGAGTCATCAAGTGCACCAAGTCACTCATTTCATTTGTATGACATTTCCTGGAGAAAAAAAAAAAATTCCCCTGTGATTTCATTGGCTTTATGAGAATTTTTCATTAAAAAATTAGATACAAAACAACATTTAGGAAGTTCTGCTTCTAAATAGCTAAGTAAGCTCTTACAGACAGACCCTTCCATAAATAAGTATAAACTCAACAAAATACAAAAATCCAGTATGTGAAGACAATGGAGAATGTACAAAACCTGGAGGCAGGTTCTGGAGGAGCGTCAACAACTTTTAGCCTAAGGGCAGGCTATAGGCCACTAAAGTACAACAGAAAACCCACAGTCTTTCTGGCCTGCAAAACCAAAGGACAGAGTTCAAGACAACCACAGCCACTAGAAAGTGAGAGTGAAATCTTAGAAAAGAGAGACCAGAAAGAAGCCCCAGGTTCTATGTATAAATTCTGCCCAACTATTTTTAAGTAAATTACATCCACGTACAAAGTTCAAGAATATTTAAAGCAATACAAAAAATACCAGCCCCCAATGAGATAAAACTGACAATGTCTGGCATCCAGTCAAAAATACCAGACATGCAAAGAAGCAGGAAAATAACACACATTTATGAAGACAAATCAGTTAATAGAAACAGACCCCAAAGTGACACTAGTGATAAAATTTGTAGATAAGGACATTAAAGTGGTTATTATAAATATATTCCACATGTCCAAGGTAGAGGAATGCATTAATATATTAAGGAGAGGCACAGAAGTTATAAAAAGACCCAAATAGAACTCCTGGAAATTAAAAAATACACTGTTATGAAAACATGAGATAGGATGAGCAGACTAGATGCTGCAGAAGAAAACATTAGTGAACCCAAATACATGGCAGTAGAACCTATGAAAATGAAACAGAAAAAAAGTATAAAAAACACAGACACCATCAGTGAGCTATCAGACAACTTTAAACAATCTAATATAGACATAATTAAAATCCTCAAGAAGGCAAGAGTCCAAAAAAATTATGAAAAAGTAATGGTCAAAATTTTTGCAAATCTGATGAAAACTATAAACCATAGATCTAAGAAGACATTCTGTAAGAATTCTGAATGAAATCAGATGTGTTCATTAGAAGAGATAGTTTTAGCTCTAACATGTACCAAAACCCATTTATAATGTTACCGATGGCAGCACTACAGGTCTGAATAAACATTTAGGACTAAACAAAATAGAAACTGTTTATGAAAGGAGACAGAAAAATAAGAACCTTACCGTTCCTTGGAATCCCCATCTGATTTATCAGTTGAACTTGTAGAAGAACTTAATTCATCCTCAGACAGACAGTGGATGAGTTTCCTTTCCTTTAATGTTTGGAAAAACAAAATTCCACAGGACAACACAACCAGAACATAACACACGCAACACTCTTAGATGCAATGTCTAGATACAGTGTGCATTTGGGTCCAATTTGACAGGAGAAGCTAATGATCTAAAAGTTGAAGTTACTTTACTCAAATGATATCCCAGTTCACCCATAAAGTTCACAAGTGAACCCTGAAGAACATTAAGGTAAAGTTTTACAAGGCCCTGGAAAGTCTCAGCTATGAAGAAATTTCCTTTCCAGAAGTACACAAATAGTTCTGGTACTCCAACTCCTAAGCAGAGGGCTAGTAACCTAAGGAATTTTAAGCTAGATAAAATGCCACCTAAATAAAAGCAACCTCAGTTTGCTTATATCTGAGACTCTTCGTTAAAATACCTTAAAGGATTACTTGATTTAATTATATGCAAACCTTACAACTTTAGAAAATGGAGAGGAATATCTTGATTAGTGAAACAACTTATTCATAGAATATTGTTAAAGCAACAAATCTTCCTTACTTTCAAGAACAGGAAGTTTCTATTTTTTAAAATAATTATATGCTCCTAGAAATAATGTCAGAAAGTCCAATACAGAAAAATGGTAATTATTCCCCAGGTATCATTACACAGAAAATGAACATGGGTTGGAAAACCTGCAACTTCCCATTTAGCCACTAGATGCTGCCCCTGCATCGTCCCTAGGTGAGAAGCTAAGGAACTCTGACACAAACAGGAAACTGAGCAAAGATAAGCAAATGAGACTAAAATTTGGCCAGGTAGGCAGGTATATTGGTTACACAGCAGAATAAGCAAAATGTTGCCTAGTGGAAGCCTTTTGGAAGTCCTGTTTTAAAGACTACCTAAAAAAGATAGTAACTAAGCTGCCAACTGCTTATAAGAGCACCTAAAACACTCCTTCCTTTAATGGAGGAAAAATAATCTTTTTAGTTATTATTCACCAGTTCTTTTCCTTATCAAGGTGAAAAAATATAACTTAAGGCAATGCTGTCCCAGAAATCAATGGAGCTGGCATTTATGAGGTTTACTGTATTAGGCTTGCCTGATACAGACCTGTCCCCCTCTTCCGTAGGACTGTATAATGTACCTGAGCAACAGTGCAGTCGGAAGACAACCATCGGGCAGGGGCGGGCTGGCCTTCTTCTTGTGGTTTCCCTGGCCCTGATGCACTCCGAGAAGCTCTCCTCACTGAAGGGCCTGAAAAAGTGAGCACCCCCAGCAACTGTTTGTGGTGGGCTGGCCTCAACAGAAGAGGGCTTTACAGCAAGTGCCAGCCTAGCAGTAACTCAGCATATTCATCATCACTCTTGGTGTCTGACACCTCAGTTTAAACCTCAGTTCTAGGTCCACCAGCTCTGTGACCCTGGTCAAGTTATGTAACCTCTCCAAGCTTCTGTGTCCTCAGCTGCAAAATGCAGATAATGCTGCCTTTCTTTGACAGTTACCGTCAACAGGAGATGAGATAACGCTCTTAAAATACTTCCCATAATGCTTGAGACATCATTCAATAAATAGAAACTGCTAGTGCTGTCTTTAGATTATAGAAATAAGGATGATCAGCCCAGGGCAGCACCATTCTCCCAGCTTCGTCTCTCTGTTTCTGAGAAGATAGCGCTTCCTGACCAGCAGAATCTGAACATGGAAACAAACGTTCACTCCATTTCCTGTCTGAAATCTTCCAGGAGTTAATGCCACTCAAAGTCCTCTTGCTCTCTTTTTAATATCCTCTTCCCCTGATAATACAATTTCCAGACCCAACAGCCTATGCTGATTTTTTTTTAAAGGCCTAAGAAATTTCAAAAATTCTTCTAAATCTGTTTCCCAAATGGATCACTGATGCTGAAAATTCTTCACACCTCACAATCAGAACCAAGGCTATATCCATAAGCCAAACCAACAACCTCCAATAGATGAAGGAAAGAGAAAACTTTACCTGAGGGGAACACTTCTTCCTGTGATTGCTTTAGTCGCCTCCTCTCTCTTGCTGATAATGGTCGATCCTTTTAAAGAGAGTTAATTACTTTCACCCCTACTCACTATTTTTCTAACAACTGCAAAGTTTGACGTATCATCCAGCACTATAGGAAAGGCCCTGCACAGGTCTTTAAAGGAGTATCTGTTTGAAACCAGTCCACATCACGGTTACAACTATTAGCTAGGAATGATCACAACCCTCATTTCTGGGAAGTACTCATTTTTGGAAGGGCAAATGAAAAATTTTGCATTTCTTACATTCAGAATCTACTTAGTTTCCTTAATTAAGTGGAAGTGACCATCCCTGGAACTATATTCCATCCACTTCAATAAAAGCTTCTGCTGAGAATAACAATTTTTGTCCCTCTGCTGTTTGGCAAAAGGCAGGGCTAAGATGTTTTGTTTTTAAGATTTTATGTATTTAGGGTGCTTGGGTGGCTCAGTTGTTAAGCATCTGCCTTCGGCTCAGGTCATGATCCCAGGGTCCTCGGGTCGAGCCCCTCATTGGGCTCAACCGAATGAGCCACCCAGCCCACCCCAGGTAAGATGTTTTAATACAAAACCTCACAACATATGCAGGATTTTTACAACCAAAAAATTTTATAAGAAGGTTGAAAAAAATCCAATATACACTCCCACAAACCTTTGATGATGACACCTCCCTGCTCCTTGAACAGCTCACAGCAGACCCAATGGCCACTCTATTTTGGTTTTCAGCATCTTCTTGTGTTAATGTGACATCCGTTTTTCCAACAGTGGGAAGAGAAGGCAAAAGTCGAGGAGCAGCCTCCTGGAACTTAAATAATTAAAAAGGGGGAGGTGGGAAATTATCAATTTCCTATACAGCCACCTCCAAAGTTCCCCCACCAGTAAGTCTCCTTTGTATTTGTTAATGATTTGCTCTCAAAAACTTCAAAACATTGCACTTTATTGGAAAGAAACTCTGCCAAAAGTGAATGACCATCTAAGAAGCTTACAGAGAGTGTGCTTATGAAAGTCACTTCAAGAAATGAGGTGTCAACATGATTTTGTGCAGAAGAGAGAAACTATTCATCAGTATAACACAGGCAGGGATAAGAGATTTATTCTTTGTTAGCTTGTTCCCTTAACTCTCAAGATGACCTGTTCATTTTTGCTGGGGAAGATAAAATCTTTACTCTATTTCTAACTCACTGAGATTTGAAAACTAATAGTTAGCATCTCCCCATTGCCACCCCTCTCCATATGTTCCCTGTATTTCTTATGTGCCTTTTTGGAAACTGCTAATCATTCTAAATGAAGTCTATTTCCCAAGCAGCAGAATAATGACTTACTCCACAGAGCTCTCTGCTGGCCTACCTGTCTCTCTTCCCCACTGTGCTCAGGCAGTTCTCTTTTCTTCTGTCGTCGCTGTCGAGAGAGGAAAGACTCAGAGCCGGAACTCTGTGACTGTAAACCTGGGTGGGTTCTATCTGGTTTTTCCATAACACATTCACCAGCAACTTGATCCTTAAAAATAATAAAATGAAACAAACAAAAAAGAAAACAGAATAATGAAATAGTCTTTTGAACTTCCAAATGGCCAAACTATTGTAAAATTATAACTGGAAATGAGAAGGAGGAGTGTCTTTCTCAAGATGCATGCTCATTTGCAGTGCTGAGAGGCAAAGACAAAGTGCTGACATCAGTTACCCACATATCCTGGCTTTTTTTTCTCTTTTCCCAAAGAAAAATAAGTACTTACTTTTTAAAAAATATTTATTTATTTATTTGAGAGAGAGAGAGAATGAGAGAGAGACCATGAATGGGAGGGACAGAGAGTCCCAAGCAGGCTCCATGCTCAGTGCAGAGCCTGAGGCGGCGCTCCATCTCACAACCAAGATCTCAACCTGAGCCGAAACCAAGAGTTGGACACTTAATCAACTGTCCCACACAGGTGCCCCAAAATAAATAATTATATATATATGTTTTAAAAAATTTAATAAAGATATTTAATAAAGATTAAATAAAGATCTTTATTCATTTGCGACAGAGAGACAGAGACAGCATGAGCAGGGGGAGAGGCAGAGGGAGAGGGAGAAGCAGGCTCCCCACTGAGCAGGGAGCCTGACCCCAGGACCCAGAGATCATGACCTGAGCTGAAGGCAGATGCCTAACCATCTGAGCCGCCACCCAGGAGGCACCCTCAAAATAAATAATTATTTTAATTACTCAGATTGTTATTAACCCGAAACTACTGATGTTTTCGATTTACATTTTTTATTATTATGTTAATCACCATACATTACATCATTAGTTTTTGATGTTGTGTTCCAGGATTCATTGCGCATAACACCCAGTGGTCCATGCAGAACGTGCCCTCTTTAATACCCATCACCAGGCTGACCCATCCCCCCCGCCAGAACCCTCAGTTTGTTTTTCAGAGTCCATAGTCTCTCATGGTTTGTCTCCCCCTCCGATTTCCCCCCCTTCATTCTTCCCCTCCTGCTATTTTCTTCTTTTTTTTTTAAACATATAATGTATTATTTGTTTCAGAGGTACAGGTCTGTGATTCAACAGTCTTACACAATTCACAGCACTCACCATAGCACATACCCTCCCAATTTAATTTTTTTTTAAAGATTTTATTTATTTATTTGACAGAGAGACAGTGAGAGAGGGAACACAAGCAGGGGGAGTGGGAGAGGGAGAAGCAGGCTTCCCACCGAGCAGGGAGCCCGAGGCCGGGCTTGATCCCACGACCCTGGGATCATGACCTGAGCCAAAGGCAGACGCTTAACGACTGAGCCACCCAGGTGCCCCTGATTTACATTTTTTTAAAAAACGTTCTTTTCTGGGGTGCCTGGGTAGCTCAGCTGGCCAAGCAGCTGACTCTTGATTTTGGCTCAGGTTATGATCTCAAAGTTATGAGATCGAGTCCCATGCTCTACATGGAGTCAGCTTGAGATTCTCTCTCCCTCTTCCTCTGCTCCCAGTTTGCAGGCTCTTTCAAATAAATACACACATAAAATCTTAGGGGGGAAAAAAGGACCTGAATAGATATTTCTCCAAAGTAGGTATACAAATGGCCAATAAGCACAGGAATAGATGCTGAACATCATTAGTCATTAGGGAAATGCAAATCAAAACCACAGTAAGATACCATTTCACTCACTAGGATAACTAGATAAAAAACCAGAAAATAGCAAGTATTGGTGAGGATGTGGAGAAATTGCAACTCTCATATATTGTTGGGAAGTAAAATGATGTAGTTCCTTTGGAAAACAGTCTTAGAGTTCCTCAAAAAGTTAAACATAGAGTTACCATATGACCCAGTAATTCCAATCATAGGTATATACCCAAGAGAACTGAAAACATATGTCCATACATAAACTTGTATAAGAATGTTCATAACACTGGGCACCTGGGTGGCTCAGCTGGTTAAGCGACTGCTTTCAGCTCAGGTCATGATCCTGGAGTCTCAGGATCGAGTCCCACATCAGGCTCCCTGCTCAGCAGGGAGTCTGCTTCTCCCTCTGACCCTTCCCCCTCTCATGTGCTCTCTCTCTCTCATTCTCTCTCTCTCTCTCTCTCAAATAAATAAATAAATAAATAAATAAATAAATAAATAAATAAAAAGAATGTTTATAACACTAACAAAAAAAAAAGAATGTTCATAAAAGCATTATCCATAGTAACCAAAAAGTGAAAACAACCCAAATGCTCATGAACTGATGAATGGACAAATAAAATATGGTGTATACATACAGTGAATTTATTTGGCATTTTAAAAAGGAATGCAAGGATGCCTGGGTGGCTCAGTTGGTTACATGTCTGCCTTCGGCTTAGATCATGATCCCACGGTCCTGGGATCAAGTCCCACATTGGGCTCCCTGTTCAGCGGGGAGTCTGCACCTCCCTCTACCCCTCTCCCCTGCTCATGGTTCTCTCTCTCCTCTCTCTCTCTCTCTCAAATAAACAAATAAAATCTTTAAAAAAGTAAAATAAAATTCCTTAAAAAAAGTAAAAAAAAAAAAAGAAATGCAATACTGGTAGATGCTACAACATGAATAAACCTTAAAAACATCATGTTAAGTAAAAGAAGCTGTCACAAAAGGCCATAAATTGTATGATTCTATTTATAGGCATACCTCATTTTACTGTGCTCCACTTTATTATGCTTCACAGATAACTGTGGTTTTTTTACGAATGGAAAGTTTGTGGCAACCCTGCAATGAGCAAGTCTATTGGCTTTACGTCTCTGTGTCACATTTTAGTAATTCTCACAATATTTCAAACATTTTCAATGGTACTGTATTTGTTATGGTGATCTATAATCAGTGATTTCTGATGTTACTATTGTAATTGTTTGGGGGCACCACAAACTGTGTCCATAAGAGATGGAGAACTTAATTGACAAATATGTGTGTTCTGACTGTTCTACCGACTGGCCATTCCCCATTTCTCCACTTCTCCTCAGGCCTTCTTATTCCCTGAGACACAACAATACTAAAATTAGGCCAATTAATAACCCTACAATGGCTTCTAAGTAAGTAAAAGGAAGAGTCAATAGATGTGGCAAACTTCACTGTCGTCTTATAGAAAGAAATTGCCACACTCACCCCAACCTTCAGCAACCACCACCTGCCATCAACCTCAAGGCAAGACCCTCCACCAGCAAACAGATTATGACTTGCTGAAAATTCAGAAGGATGGTTAGACTGTAGTGTAAATGTAACTTTTATATGCACTGGGAAACCAAAATTTACACCCTTTTATTGCAATACCCGCTCTATTGTGGTGATCTGGAATTGAACCTGCAAGGAGGTGATATACCTGTACGTGAAATGCTCAGAATAGGCAAATCCTTACAGACATGGTTGCCAGGGGCTGGGGCCAAGGAGCAATTATTATTGCAACTATTATTAGTGGGTATGGGGTTTCTTTTTAAGGTTATGGAAATGTTCTGGAATTAGACAGTGATGACTGTACAACTCTACAAATATACTAAAAACCATTGAATTGGTACTTTAAGAATTAGAAAACTAAACAGAAGAAAATGAAAGAAGTGAACCTGAATATAATTTGAGAGCCAAGCAGAACGAGCAGGACACAGAGTTTTATCCACAAAGTACTAAGAATTCCAGTGTCCAAAGAAAGTTTAAGACTTTAATCTAATGACTTTAAATGACAAGAGCATACTTGGACTTTTCCACAAAAACAAAAATTTATTTAAAACATTTGAATATAGGGGCGCCTGGGTGGCTCAGTCAGTTAAGCGTCTGCCTTCGGCTCAGATCATGATCCCAGGGTCCTGGGATCGAGCCCCACGTCCAGCTCCCTGCTCGGCGGGGAGCCTGCTTCTCCTCCTCTCTCTGCCTGCCTCTCCCCCTGCTTGTGCATGCCCACACGCGCTCTCTCTCCCTCTCTCTCAAATAAATAAGTTCTTAAAAAAAAATAAAAATTAAACATTTGAATATAAATGTATAAAATAGTTTTTATATATCTTAAAGATATGAAATATAAAAATATATTTAATAGATCAAATTTAAATATTTTAGATTATAAAAATGGTTAAAATACATCTTAAATATATTTTTAGATTATTTTACATATAAAAATGAAAAGGTAACCAAATGTTCTTTCTCTCCAATCCTCAGCTATAGCCATGTTTTATCTAACTTACACTTCTTTCCAAGTTCAAGTAGAAGTTAACCTTTCAATTTACTCAGAATAGTCTCTTAGTATCAAAATCCTTTTGCTCCTTTCCTTTTCTTCTTCTCTTCCTTCCCCTTTGGTTCCAACATATAAAATACTTTTTTTTATTCCTTAAGAAATAAGACCGATCACTAACTTTCCGAGCGCAAGAAAAAATGTGATGTTACCTACTTGGCAGAACTACCCATCCATGTGGAGGCCTAAGGAAGAGTGACAAAGAAATGGGAGAAAACATACAGATAGCATGCTTCTACCAAATACCCTACAGTGGGGCACAAGGCATCTAAGAATCCTGCGGGTCCTATCCTTTGGTTTCTGTAATGTTTAAACTGGCACACAGAATAACTGGTTTTCCTAAAATGCCAATTAGAACACAATAAACAACACAACTCACATCTTTGTAACCACACTTTCCAGTTTTCTCTCTGAGACCAGCACCTCATGCATCTCACTCACCTGGTCTTTCAGCTTTTGGTCTTTGTTGAGGGGCTGCAGAGGTCTCACTGGATCATTCCTTTCCCCAGTGACATCATCAGAGGACCATGCGGGAATTAGGTTTCTGGGTTGAGGGCTGGGCTTAGTGCCATCCTGCAGCTTCTCCTTCACTTGAGAAATACTGCATTTACTTTCTAGCTCATTAGAGGCATCTAAGTGTCTTGGCTGATTCTCCCGAACTAAGTCATCGCTCAGTGAATTCCTTCTTTCTGCAGGTAAGATGTCAATATTCACTTTACTGATGGTGGCTAACGATTCTGAGGTATTGCTCATGTCCGGTTTGCAGGTGTAGCCTTTCAAACTTGCTGGTGTCTTCAAGGGGCCAATGACTATGGGTTTCTCCTGGGATAAACATTTGTCTTCAGCCTGAGTGAAAATATGCTTCCAACTTATTACAGCACTCCTCATACCACTTAAAATTAACTCAAAAAAGGTACAGCAGGTTCCTCAGAAAGTTAAACATAAAATCACCATATGACCTGGCAATCTCACTCCTAGGTAAATATCCCAAAGAACTGAAAGTAGGACTCAAACAGATATTTACTCACCAATGTTTACAGGGGTTAAATAACCCCTAGCAGCACTATTCACACTAGCCAAAAGGTGAAAACAACCTAAATGTCCATTAGCAGATGAAGGGATAAACAAAATATGATATACACATAACAATGGAATATTACTCAGCCATAAAAAGGAATGAAGTACTAATACATGCTACAACATGGATGAACCTTAAAAACATGCTAAATGGAATAAACCAGACACAAAAGGACATAATGTATGATTCCACTCATCTAGAACAGGCAAACTCATAGAGACAGAAAGTAGATTAGAGGTTACCAGGGCCTGGGAACAGGAGGAATTGGGAACTATTGCCTAACGAGTACAAAGTTTACTTAGAGTGATGAAAGGGTTTTGGAAGATAATGGTGATGGCTGCATAATATTGTGAGTGTAGTTAAGGCCACTAAATTGTAGGCTTAGAGGTGGCTCAAAATGGCAAGTTCTGGGGTGGCTGGGTGGCACAGCTGGTTAAGCATCTGACTCATGGTTTCAGCTCAGGTTGTGATCTCAGGGTTGTGGGATCGAGCCCCGCATTGGGCTCTGCACTCATCGTGGAGTCGGCTTGAGATTCTCTCTCCCTCTGCCCCTCCTGCTCGTGCTCTCTCTAAAATAAATAAATATTTTTTAAGAATGGCAAATTCTATGTCGTATCCATTTCACCACAATAAACAGAAAATTTAAAACTTTTAAAATGAATCAACAACCTAAATATAAGAGCTGAAATTATAAAACTTCTAGGAAAAACACAGGCAAACATCATCATGGACTTGGATTTGGCAAGGAATTCTTAGATATGACATCAAAAGCACAAGCAACATAAGAAAAAAACAGATAAACTGGGCTTCATCAAAATTAAAAGCTTTTGTGCATAAAGGGACATTATCAAGAAAGTGACAAGCCAACCTATAGCATGAGAAGAAATACTCGTAAATCATGTATAAGGATCTACTGTCCAGACTATAGAAAGAACTCTTAGAACTCAACAACAAAAATGCAAAAAACCCAACTAAAAATTGGGCAAAGCGCTTAACAGACATTTCTCCAGAGAAGGAATACAAATGGCCAAGAAACTTGTGGGAAGATGCTATGTCATTAGTCATTAGGGAAACGCAAGTCAAAACCACACTGAGATATCGCTTCACATCCATTAGGATGGCTAGAATCAGAAAAGTAGAAAATCACAAGAGTCAGTGAGGTTGTGGAGAAACCAGAGCTCTTGTGCACTGGCTGGTAGGAAAGTAAAATGCAACCACTCTGGAAAGCAGTGTGTTGGTTCCTCAGAAAGTAAATATAGAACTACCACATGACCCAGCAATTCCACTCCTAGGTATATATCCCAAAACAGGAACCCAAAGACTTGTACCCAAATTTTCACACCAACAGCCAAAAGGTGAAAACAACTCAATATCCACCAACAAATGAATGGATAAGCTAACTGTGGTACGTACGTACAGTGGAATATTACTCAGACATAAAAATAGATGGAGTACTGATACATGCTACCTCAAAAACATCATGCTCAGTGAAAGAAGCCAGACACGAAAGGTCACATATTATGATTCCATTTATGTGAAATACTCGGAATAGGCAAATCCACAGAGACAGAATACACATTGGTGGGTTCGAGGGGCCGGGTGGAGGAGAGCATGAGGATGATTACTTAATGGGTTTGCAGTTTCCTTTTGCAGTGACGTGGAATGTTTTGGAACTAGATAGAGGTGGTGGTTGCACAACGCTCTGAATGCACTAAATGCAATTAATGGTTCACTATAAAATGGTTATCATGTTATATAACCTGCTTAAATAACCTATCGTTTTAATACTTTCTTTTTTTTTTAAGATTTTATTTATTTATTTGACAGAGAGAGACAGCGAGAGACGGAACACAAGCAGGGGGAGTGGGAGAGGGAGGAGGCTTCCCACTGAGCAGGGAGCCTGATGCGGGGCTCGATCCCAGGACCCTGGGATCATGACCTGAGCCAAAGGCAGATGCTTAACGACTGAGCCACCCAAGCGCCCCTTGTTTTAATAGTTTCTAAAATACATACCACTACATATGTCTTGGAGCCCTCAGAAGAGCGTGACTGGAGGGGAACTACTTTATGACTCAATTCAGCATTTCCAGAGACCACTGCAGCAACAGGCTTCGATTTAGAGTTGCCATTTTTAATATTACTTTTGGAGGTTTTTCTTTATGAGGAAGAAAAGAAAAAATTATTATCAGCATAGTGAAAATGAAAGGTTTTTACATATCTGGGAAATGTGTACATGTATTATAAAAACTGCTCCATTTAGAGAAAATAGTTTTCTAAAAACCAGGAGGCATTCTGCAAAACACCTGACTAGTACTCCTCAAAATCAATCAAGGTCATGAAAAACCAAGAAAGTGAGAAACTTGGTTGACTAAGGAGACAGGAGGACTAAATGTAATATGGTATCCTGGATTGGATCCTGGAAGAGAAAAAGGACATTAGTAGAAATACTGGTGAGGGCCAAAAAAAAGTCTGGAATTTAGTCAACAGTCAGGTACTGATGTTGTTTTCTTAGTTCTGACAAATGTACCATGGTAATGTAAGAGGTTTATGATAGGAGAAGCTGGGGGAGGGGTGTACAGAAACTCTCTGTACGATCTCTGCAACTTGTCTGTAAATACAAGATTATTCCACCATAAAAAATCAATGAGAAATGGGGCGCCTGGGTGGCTCAGTCGTTAAGTGTCTGCCTTCAGCTCAGGTCATGATCCCGGGGTCCTGGGATCGAGCCCCACATCAGGCTCCCTGCTCAGCGGGAAGCCTGCTTCTCCCTCTCCTACTCCCCCTGCTTGTGTTCCCTCTCTTGCTGTGTCTCCCTCTGTCAAATAAATAAATAAAATCTTTAAAAAAAAAAATCAATGAGAAATTACCTCATGTACAGAAGAACCAGCATAATCGTCAAGTTTCGCATGTTTGTAATTATACCACAACTGCTTTGCCAAGTTTGAGAGTTAAGAATGATTGGTGTGCTCAGCCTGGACTTGCAGAATAAAAGTGTACAGGATTATCCCCTTTAGTGTGACATTTCTACAACTGAGCTAACTAATCCTCTGGAGACTTCAACAGGACCATGAGACCAGTGCTTCGGAAGGCCAAAGGTCTGCTTGGTGCAAATTATAGACGGTGTAAATAAAAAGATGGGTTTTCTTTATCTCCTGGGGCCTCTCTAGTATTACTCTTAAATCTAACATGTCACAAGGCAGAGATCGTGCAGCTCTTAGATCTTGGAACAGCTATTTAGTGAAGGTAACCCCTGTAAGTCAAAGAAAGAAATTTTTCTCCTGAGAAATTATGAGTGAAGAGGGAAATTTATGGAAACTCTCAGAAATTTGAGTGCTTAATTTTTAAATGTGACTCACATAGTACATATAACAGGCTTCTTAGATAATTTCATTTTCATATGGTTTCTAAAACATATATCCTTTTGAAAGAATCGTACTTGATATGTCTTGGAACTCTTTGAGGAATGTTAAAGTGATTCTCTAAATGGTTTTCTAGATTTCTGATTTTAGCAATTAAGTAAATCTCAACACATGTCCTAATCATGCAATTTCCCTTTTTTTTTAAAAGATTTTATTTTATTTATTTGAGAGAGTGAGAGAGATAGCACAAGAGGGGGTAGGGTCAGAGGGAGGAGCAGACTCCCCGCTGAGCAGGGAGCCCGATGCGGGACTCGATCCGGCATGACCCGAGCCTAAGGCAGTCATTTAACCAACTGAGCCACCCAGGCACCCCTTCCTTCATGTTTAAAAAAGCTCACCACAGGGGCACCTGGGTGGCTCAGTCGGTTAAGCATCTGACTCTTGATTTCAGCTCAGGTCATGATCTCAGGGTTGTGAGATCGAGCCCACGTTGGGCTCTGCACTGGGTGTGGAGCCTGCTTAAGATTCTCTCTCCCTCTCCCTCTGCCCCTCCTCCCTTCTCTCTCAAAATAAATAAAACTTCACCATAAATTCTACATATGAGAATTATAGAAGCTACCTTCTTTTATTCATCTATTTAGCCACCTATTTGCAAGGGAATATCTTACGCCTTTGTGGCCTCCAAAAACAGAGAGATTTGGCGCTTTATGTAAGGCTGCCTCAGGATGCTCCTCACAGAGGGTCTTTCTTCAGGCCTTTTGCTCAGCATTGTTCTTATCAGTTCTGCCAGCTCTGGGCTATAATCTTTTGGCATTGGTGGCAGCTACAAAGAGAAATGATATCATAATTATGACTCTGGTCTTGTGAAGCAAAGTATAAGGAAAGAGTAGATGTTTCCCAATATTTCTTTAAAGTCATTGTCCACAGAAGCAGAAAAGAGCCAGCATACAGGAAGCTTACTAGTGTCCTGGTCATAGCAGCAAGTTGTGAGACTATAAAAGTTTATCTTTCAAACCAGCAGTCCCATCTGAGGACTCTCCTTCAGAAATAAAAGCATGAGTTCCTAAAGACTTACATACCAGGAAATTCACTGCAACATTGTTCTTGCAGTAGTAAACAACTGGAAACAACTTAAATGTCTATCCATTGCATAGCTTATGGTACATCCTTCTAATAAAATGTTAGGCAGCTTCTTAAAAAATATGACAGGTACTGAACTGGAAAGATGTCCCTCGTATACTAAGACAAAAAAGCAAGTTGTATACCAATATGTACTAGCTGATTCCATCTCAGTTACTCTTTAAAAGTGTTTGTGTGTTTATGTGCATATATACAGCCCGACTGAGATATATGCAGACAGGAAAATGCTAGGAAGGCTACGCACAAAATTCCTAGCAATGGTGATCTCCAGTGGATAGAAAAGATTAAAAACAGGGGAATTTCACTCCTTTCTTGTTTTGAGTCTTAAGTAGTGCAATTACAGGTATGTTTTACTTTGTGTTTTTCAATATTTTGAAATTAAGAAAGTGAGTCTTGGCATAATATTAAAATCAGTAGGTGGTTTACAGCTTTAAAACTTAATGGTGTGGGTGCCTGGGTGGCTCAGTTGGTTAAGCGACTGCCTTCGGCTCAGGTCATGATCCTGGAGTCCCGGGATCGAGTCCCACATTGGGCTTCCTGCTCAGCAGGGAGTCTGCTTCTCCCTCTGAGCCTCTTCCCTCTCGTGCTTTCTATCTCTCATTCTCTTTCTCTCCGAAATAAATAAATAAAATCTTAAAAAAAAAAACAAGAAAAAAGTTAATGGTGTGTGGGGCTCCTGGGTGGCTTAGTCGTTAAGCATCTGCTTTCAGCTCATGTCATGATCCCAGGGTCCTGGGATTGAGCCCCGCATCAGGCTCCCTGCTCAGCGGGAAGCCTGCTTCTCTCCCTCTCCCACTCCCCCCGCTTGTGTTCCCCCTCTCGCTGTCTCTCTCTGTCAAATACATAAATAAAATCTTTAAAAATAAATAAATAAATAAAACTTAATGGTGTGTGGATACCTAACACTGCAGAGGACAACTAGCCTCATGGGAAGTAACATATAAGCGTGGTCACTCTGGTGTATTATACACATTGCTTTCTGCAGTTCTTAGCTGGCTACTTATAATTGTGATGATTACCAAAGGAGCAACACCTTCAAAGAGTAGACTGATTTTTATTTATTATTATCATTATTATTTTACATTGTTGCAAAGTGTCTTCTAATCACCAAGTACTGAGCAAGTTGGGAATGGAATGGGTACTTTGCCCAGAGTGGACTCATTTTAGATGGGGCTCATTTGACCACGGCTGCTCAGGAGAAGCTACCAATATCATCTCAGGGCACCTGAATATCCTGTGGTTACAAGGCAGTGGTTTTCAAAAAGCCAACTCTTCAGAACCATTAAGCCACCTTTATAAATTAGTATTAAAAAACGATCAATGCCTTCTCTTTCTAGTTCAACCTTCTCCACAGAAGGGGCCTACTCTTCTTATCTATCCCCCTGACATCAACGATGACTCACTTTTGCCAATAGCTACTTACAAAGCTGCATTAAATTAACCTTGCTTCAAATACTAAAAACAATTAGTTTCAGAATAGTCTTTACCTTTCCTTCAATAATCCGATAAACTAAAGAATTCATGTCTTTTGCATTGAAAGCATGCTTCAGGGTGGCCATTTCATAAACACAGCATCCCAGAGCCCAAACATCAGACTAGAAAAGAAAAATAGTAAATAATCAAATGTCAGAATGCCTCACTGACATTTTTCCTCTGAGAATAACAAAACAGAACAAAACAAAGCAAAAAAAACGTTTTCGGGGCACCTGGGTGGCTCAGGCAGGTAACATCTGCCTTCAGCTCAGGTCATGATCCCAGAGTCCTGGGATCCAGCCCCACACTGAGCTCTCTGCTCAGCAGGAGCCTGCTTCTCCCTCTCCCCTCTGCTGGTGCTCGCTCTCGTGCTCTCGCTCTCTCTCTCTCTCTCAAACAAATAAATAAATAAATCTAAAGAAAAAAATAAAAAACAAAAAACATTTTCCTCAAGCCAATTCTCAGAACATTCCTCTGACTTTCTATTTGATGGGTTCTGAAGTTATGAATACTGTCCTAGGGACAGGGTGAGCTGGCATACACAGCTCAATCCTACCTTATAGTTGTAAGGTTTGTTTGAAAACAATTCAGGGCTCATGTAGTAGGGTGTGCCAATGAGGGTGCTAGCCATGTCACAGTGGTTCTCTAACACTCGAGCAATTCCTAGGTCACCCACTTTGATGATGTTTGTTCTTGTTAGGAAAACATTTTGAGTTTTCAGATCTCGGTGAAGGATGTGTTTTTCATGTAAATACTGAGGAGAGAAATAAAACTTCATTAAATATAAAAACACTTACCTACTTACATATTCCTGACTTCTTACATACCATCAACGATTGCATGAGTGAAAGAGTTTCAGTCACCTAAATAACAAAACACTACTGTTTTAATCATCTCTAAATAAAAAGTCTGATTTCTAACTTTCCAAAGCAAGAAATTAAGTTCCATGCATTAATTTGCCCAGTATCTGTCCTTCACAACTATTCCCTGGTACCTTGACAATTTTACCATCTAGCAATAAATGGATCCAGTTAAAAATACCCTTACAAACTCCCCCTGAAGGGACAGACAACTTGTACAGGGTCAGATGCACACTCCCCTCAGACTCATGAAATCTTCAGCTTAATAATATTTTCAAATATAACAAGATCACTTTTATTTAGACAGAGTGTCTAAAATTTACACAAGGTCAATCCATTCTGGACATATCTGTCCAGATCCAGAGTGGTATTTCATAGACAGTCTCACATTTGAATATGTGTATATTCAAACACAGACATGTTTTGTATTTCCACTCACTCTGCCACAGCAGGGTTAAAGCCCATATCCCCATAGTTTAAGCATATTAATTAGCCCAACCACCTTTCAATATGACATAGCTGACCAGCTGATAACAGACATGGTCATTTTTTGCTTTCTCAACTCAGGGCCCTTAAAATTGATTTTGCTATGAATATTAAATGAACAGAGAACTGGCATCCCCTGCAAACTGAAATCCATGTCTACTTCAATATAGACATTGTTCATTCAGAAACACTCTAATGCTATAGTGAAAGGGACTAAGTCTATTTCATAAGTGGATTTTTTTTTAAATACATTTTTTTTTTCATGTAAGCATCTGGGGAAGCATTTTCCTAAAATCCACCTGCTATCCCCCTGTCACCTTGGAGCAAGTGGAATGCTGTGTCTGGACAGTACCTGCAGAGCCATGGCAATCTGAACAAACCATTCCACCACCTGACTCTCAGGCAGAAGCTGCCCCTTCTGTTCTTTGAGCTTTCGGTACAGATCACCTCCTTCGCAGAAGCCCATGACAATGTACAGCAGACCATCGCCTCCCTCCCATGACTCCTTATAGGTGACAATATTAGGGTGCTTCAACTGAGACAAGAGCTGAGCTTCCTGTTCAGCGGCTCGCCGCTCTCGGCTGGAGGCATTTCGGAGGTTCAGCTTTTTGATGACATACTATGGAGAAAACACGTGATTTTACAATGTGCAAATAAGCATACAGTTTTATAGGCTCAGAATATTTAAGGGTTCTCCTGAAATGGTCCTCAAAACCAACCTCCAGGAGCCTGTCAGACAACCTATTAATTTTGTTATTCGCAAAGCACAAAACTAGGGAAAAGATTTGCTCTAATTTACTGATATTTTCAACAGGTTAGACTTAAAACAGGCTGGAGAGTCACAAAAAATTTATTATACTTTCCATTTGCATTTTACAATTTCATTAATGGCTAAAAAATGAGTCCATGTTAACATACAACTGGATCAACCATAAAGCCTGTAGTAAAGATTCCTTAACCTCTAAGTTTCCCTTACAAAGGTATATAATATAAGGCTTGAAAATACATCTGCATGGGCGCCTGGGTGGCTCAGTCGTTAAGCATCTGCCTTAAGCTCAGGTCATGATCCCAAGGTCCTGGGATCGAGCCCTGCATCGGGCTCCCTGCTCAGCAGGAACCCTCCTTCTCCCTCTCCCACTCCCCCTGCTTGTGTTCCCTCTCTCGCAGTCTCTCACTCTCTCTGTCAAATAAATAAATAAAATCTTGAAAAAAAAAAATACATCTGCAGATAGAATGGATTCATAGATCACATTGGATACTCAAAGGGATCCATGGCCTAATAAAGTTAAAAATCACTGATTCTCAACATTAAAAATTACTCCCCCCTAAAAAGAAAGTCAATATCCCCTGACACCTTGCCCTGATACATTGCCCACAACCAATTATCAGTCCATACAGTTCATTAATCAACAAGGATATATATAAATGTGCTTTGTAAAGTGTAACCTACTGCTCAAATGTGAGGGGCTATTATTCCCATCAATACCCCATTCTCCACTCAAAAAATCCAATGACACACCCACCCCATTCCCCCTACTGCTACTGAATAAATCTCTTATACCTGAGTTTGTGTTCCAGGCAGAGCTACCAGCACTTGACACCAAGCAGAATAGGCTAGAGAGCCTTATACTTGGGAAGGACTTTTCAGCTTGCCTGGGGCACTGCCACTGTCTTGGTGTAATTATTAATAGCGCCTCCTTCCAGTCTCGAAATTGTCCCAGTTTGTATGATACGTTATATGGTCACCCTACTTATAAACCATCTTAGAGAACTGGCTCATCATCCTGAGGGTCATGGGATAAAGTGCTCTAAAGAAAGGAGTGACAACATTAGCTGTAAGTTTTAGAAGGATCACTGAGATGGCAATGAAAGTGATGGATTGAAGAGCGAGGATCAGCGGAAGCCATGGCCACAGCTCAGCTAAAGATTATGATGTCCTGGATTGGGGCGGTACCAGTGGAGATAGAGAAGAGGCCTGCTGGCTTAGTGGACAAATGAATGGGGGCAGTGGTGTGTATCAAGAATGACACCTGGATATGTCCAGCTGGGGCAAGTGGACGGTGTGTGGTCCTACTCACTGAAATGGGGACCATGAAAGGTTTGGCGGGAAGGTGATGAATTTTAAGTGAGTCCAACAGTCTCCAGGTCAGATGTATGGGAACCCTCATTCAAAGAGTAATACCTGCCAGGCGCTGTGTTAGATTGTGGGAATGAATGATCTCACGGAATTGTCAAGAGTGGAGAAGGTGTGTAGATCAAGCACAACAATTAATACTATCAAGGAGAACTACAGGGAGTGTGGGGCGCATCTTACAGTAAGGCCTGGCCTACTCTTGGTGGTATGGGACGGTTTCCCTGAAGAAGTGACATCCGAGGTGAGTCCCCTTCAGACCACCCGGAGCCTAGCCTTTGGACTGCGGCCTCGGCATATAGCTGCCTGCCCTCCACCCCCTGCCGGGCCCCAACCCCGCCGACCTGCCTGCCGTCCCGACGGTGCCTCACGAGCGTCACCTCCCCGTAGCTGCCCCTGCCCACGACCCGCAGGTAGCAGTAGGCGGCCAGAGGCATGTTCCCGGCGCCGGCCCAAAGCTGCGATGCGGCGGCAGCGGCGGCCAGGGTCGCGGGCCGCGACAGGAGACCCCGCTCATGCCCAAGAGGCCGCGGTGCTGGCGGCTGCTGAGACTGTCGGGCCCCTACGCGAGCTCGGAGGCTGGGCCCAGCGACGCCGCTGCCATAGCGATCCCGGCCAGCGTAGCCCCGCGCATGCTCCCGCGGCCCGGAAGCACCCACCACAGAGCCGAAGCGCCAGGCGGCCAGAGCGGTTCCGCCATCCAGGAGGACCCGCCATAGAGCCCAGGCTCAGGGCGGCCAGAGGGACTCCGCTGGTCCTGGCGCGCGCGCTTTCTGCTTCAGTTCCACCGCCGAGAACTTCCGGGTTGCCGAGAACAATAAACTAATAGAAGCTCCCACATATTGAACATGTACTTGATTTAAGCGCTTTGGGAAAATATTCGCCATTCGTTTTACAAATAATTTTATTAACCGCCTACCATGTGCCAGACTGACAGAGTACCTCTCTTCCTGAGGCTCCCATTCTAATCGAGGGATTACAGACTAGATTCTACAAGTAACATTTGTTGTATTTGCTTAATCACACAATGGTTAATGTATGCATCTAGCAATCCATCTTATTTTTTATGCATTTCAAAAGCAACGGAAGATATCAGTACACTTCACCCCTAGAAGCTTCAGCTTGTGCATTAAGAAATGCAAAGTACTCTCATAACTATCCAACCCCCTAGCACTGTGACTTGACCAAATTCTAGCATGGTTTTTAACAGCTTAAGGTAGTGTCCGTAGGAGGCCCCTCCTTAAAAGATCCGTGTGTGAAAGCTCAAAGCTGCCAAAGAGTTTATTATTTGATCCCACCGACATTTCCTTTCCCTTTCCTAGAGCATTTACCTAAAAGACCTCACAATTGTAAATCCTTCCTGTGTCTCTATTAGATATGTGTGTATCTCCTAAGATCCAGGAGCGCCTTTCTCAAGGACCTGAAATCCATCCCTTTGAAATGTAAGATTTGTCTACCTCCAAGAACCAGTTTTTGCCCAGTTGGGGGCAATATCACCCCTGTTGAGAATGGGAAATGTTAACAGAAATTCAACCAAGTAAATTTGAAGATCTAATTGACTTTATTAAGTGATTCATGAATCAGGCAGCATCCTGTCTAGCAAGTAGAGGGATACTCTAAGGAGTTGTTCAAAATGGAAAGTTTTTACTGGAAGAAAGGCAAGGCAAGGAAATTATTACTGGGAAAAAAAAAAGAGAGGAAATAACTTTCAGCTATTACTGAAAGTTTCAGGCCAACGTATCTTCTTTTTTGTGGGGAAGAGAATGGCAGCGTTTTTAATTGTACAGATGTCTCACTAGTGCCGATCAGGAAATTTCAGATTGACTGTTAGAAGGTCACATTCTTGGGTTTGGTTGAAACTATAATTAAGTCTTGGTTTTCTACTGGGGGTTGGTGACTCCATCTAGGGCTTGTTGTTTCTTTTTTTAATACTATTGCCCCCAGAAAGTTAATTCATGCTTTTTCTGGTTAATCCCCATTCCCCTCTTAGAGACAAGTACATTAGCATCTTTAGTACTTACATCAACCCTGTGAAGCTGGTACTATTATCATCCTCATTTTACAGTTAAGGAAATTGAGTCTCTGGGAAGTTAAAAAACTCATGCTAACAGAGAGAGTAAATTGGAGTCAGCATTGCCAACAAGGTTCTTTAAAATGGAGCCAGGAGGACATTGAGGACGTTGAGGAAATGGAGTTTATGTATGTCTTCTGTCTCAAATTTTCAGAATTTTTGCTGAATTCAGTTAAAAGCCAAGGCATCTGCTACATGGTAAAACAGACATAAATGGACTTTCTGCCTAACACTAGCCCTGGCAATCAATCACATATAGATTAGTGTAACTAACGCTATACCAGGAACAACCACATTTTGTTCAAAACAACTTGTGTAAGTGCCCTCTTTCTTCTTTAAAAACTCTGAAATTTGCCTCTCCAGAGTTGGGTTGTTTTTTGTTTTTTGTTTTTTAATTTTGGTGGAATCTGTGTCTCCCGGATTGCAATCCCTAAGAACCCAAATAAATGCACATATTTTATTTTGCAGCTTGCAATTTTGTCTTTCATTGGTCAACACTCGAAACAACATTCTAGAAGGCTTATGGCTCGCTCACTCCTAAAACCCCTGTATTTACTTGGCCCCACATGCCCTCAAGAAAGCTTCCTGGAAAATGACTCAGATTCCCTAGATGCCTTTCTTAGTCTTCATCCATCCCCTTTACCCTCAGTAGCCTCTGCCCCTCTTGTGAGTCCTCTCCTTTCTTGGTTTCTAGAACTTTTCTGGTTCTCCTGCTCCTCCTGTGCACTCCTGTTCTTTTGACTTCTCATGATTCCCTCAGGTTTGAGGGAATCTGCTCTCCGCTTTTTACCCCCTCCAACTTTCTCTTCTTCAAAACTATCATTCACTCTGCAGACATTTAGTATGGGCATGCATGATGCAAGGCTAGTGCCCTGCCCTGGAGGAGCAAAGTGAATAAGACAGACAAAGTCCTGCCCCTGTAGGGCTTACAGTTGAAGAGAGAAGTGATCATTAATCAATGAAGCGTGCTAATATGTTATCATTGCCACCTAAGGTCAGTGTCATGCTGAAAGGTCACCAGGCCCAGCCTGGGCATCCAGGAGAAGTTGTCCTAAGCAATCATTCCTTGAACTGAAGTTTGAAGGAAAATTTTTTCAGGCAAAGGGAGCACCATATGCTAAGGCTCAATGGACTTATTTTGTGACTTCACCTCCGCAGTTCTGTCTGTGAACTCAGCACTGGGCCAGCCCTGTCTACTTCAAGACCCCAACCCCAGGAGTTGACATGGGGCTGGCGGCACACAGCAGGTGTGAATGGAGGATGAAGTGGGGCTGATGAATGGATGAGTGAAAAAGCATCTGCCTACACAGATTGGAAAAAAAGTCTGTATGGTTGAAGCTGAGAGACCCGGGGGGGGGAGGTTGCATGGCTGGGTGAGATGGAGGGGTCAGCAGGGGCAGACCACTCAGGACCTGGAAATGTGTAAGATAGGGAAAGGTCTCAAGCAGATCAACATTTTTAAATGATGGCTCTGGCTACTGCCAGAGAGTACACTGAAGGAGTAGAGTGGAAGTGAGGGGAGCAGCCATGTGAGGTGAGAGATGAGGGTGGCTTGGGCTCAGTGGTGACTGGGCGAGTCACCTCTCCTCTTCATCTGTAACATGGGAGCAGTAACAGTACCCATCTCTTGGCGGTTAGCTGTGAGCAGTATATGAGGTAGGACACAGAAGATGTTAAGAAGACGGCCAGGCACTAGTCACTATTCGCTCTCCCCATACCCTCTCGCCTCCCCACAAGCCAGACAAATGTAGTTCTCGAAACTTCTATGGACCAAGCTTGGTGCTGGCCATCTCCCAATAGTCCAGTCTCAATCTTACCACATCCCTGTTCAAAAGATCTTTAGTGTTTTCCACCTAAAAGATGGGACCCTTTCAGACCTCTGTGCCAGGCTGGTCTCAAACTACTTCCGAGCCTCCTTCACCACCCTCTTCATCAGGTCCTGCTTCCATGACACAGACAATTGCACCTTCCCCAAGCATGCTTCACACCTACCCACCAACTTTCTCTCCCTGTCCTTCCTCCTCCCCCAGCCCAAGGGCTGCTCTGTTTCCCAGGCACCTCCTCCAGGGGGCTTCCCCTAAGCCCTATGGGAGTGAACTCTGCCTCTCTCAGATTACTATAGCTCCTTTGTGCTCCTCTTTAGCTTCTGACACTCCTGACACTCACTGGGCTTCTTTTGAGTCCTCTGGCTCTTTTTCCCAATGCATCAGCTCACTGAACACAGCAAGGTATTTGAGGTCATCATTGTGTCCTGGAGCCTGGCACCATGCCTAATCCACCAAGGGCTAGGTTGATACTCGTGCAGGAAATCAACAGAACCTCAAATGCAATTTCATGTTGACCCATCTCATTTTCCACAAAGGCCAGAAAACAGACCAGAAGGTCATTCTGGCCTGGATATGATAAACTTTTTCCAAGAAGCTGTTCTGAGAGACAAAGTCCGAGACAAGCAAACAGAGATCAAAGTGGCCTCTGGGCCCCCTCACCCCATCAGTGTCACAGCAGCCAGCACATCCCACCCAGGGCCACGGCATGGATTGACCAGGGCCATGTCTGCCCTGTGTGCTGTGACTTGTGGGAGACAGGGAGAGTTTGGGCAGAAAAATTAAGAAATTGAAGGTCCAAAAGTGGTCCCTGGGGTTTTGAACTCTGCGTCTCCTTTCTTCCTAACAATGCGAAGGGCATTTCTTTCAGTACCTGATAGGCTTGGGCTTTGGCGTCTGAAAGATCTGGGTTTGAAGACCTGTTGTCTGCTGTGGGACCAATGTCCCAGGGACACCATGAGGATAAAAGGAGACAGCAAAGGGCTTAGATCGATGCGTGGTATGCACTCAGCCCTCCATTATGAAAACAGAGTATTCATCTTTGCCTCCTCTTTACCTGCCAAGTATCCCTGCCCAGGTGGAGGAGCGATGAGGCTTACTTCTGTTCTTTCCAAATCTGGATGCGAAGGTCCAGAGGGATGAAGCAACTGTCCTGAAGCACAGGTCGCCCATTATGCATCCCCAGGACTGGCCAGACGGCCCCTGGCAGAACCACCACTAGGGTTGGCGCGGCTAGAGACATGGGCATGGGCAGACACTGGGTGAGCTGTTCTATCTGCCACCCCAGCCAGACCGTAACTGTGAAAAGTTTGCTGATACTTAAAGAATTTTGAAAGTAACATCTAACGAACTTCAGAAGTCCACTTGGCTTCTTGACGCATGACACCATATTCCTGGTGTTGCCTGTGCCAGACCCAGGATTAGATGAGCCATTGCGGTCTTCACCCTTCATGTCAGCTGAGTGTGGCTCCGCACAAAGGGGCTCTGTCCGAGTCTGGTCAGGAGTTTACACAGCTGGGAATCCCCCCAAGGAGAAAGATTTCACTGCTAAATTTTGATCCCCCCAATTTTAATATTTGCCTTCACCTTGTCTAATGTTTAATCCATGTTTATCTAGCACTTTATTGATTAACGGTCTGAGCAAAGTGACGAGGCAGCTGGAGCCTTGAGACCATGGACGGCACCATGGGGCTGCGGGCGCTACTGTGCGCGTAC